ACCTGGGTTTCCTCCGGAGTGGAAACTCTGATGTTCAACCAGTGCTGATGAATAAGTTGCTGCAAGTTTAGCACAGCAGGTTGCATTTCTTGTCAGCGTTCAGACGGGTGTAATACACAGTATTGTAAAGTAAATCCCCCTGACTGCTCAAACTAATGTGCTCCGATTCTGTTGGCATTTGGCCTACTATTTCAGAAAGAGAAATGTCACTTCTGACCTAAATAAGATTTGCTTCTAAGAGGCTCTAGGGTAAAAACCTGCCATCACAATCTAGAGGCAGCCCTTGCATGGATTACAGTGGAGCTAGCGCCATGCTTTCAATACAGCCCTGTGCCAATTAGAGGTAATGGGCTTCCAGGATAGTGCAGTCTAATGAGGGGTGAGCCTCCAAGTTTCAGAAGGTCTGTTTTTAATGAATCCCTCCAAAAGCAGATGTGTCATGGAACACCTTGTGTCTGGGCGCTGGGACTGTGATAGGAACAGCTTTTATCCTGGATTTTCCTCTCGGAGCCAGAAAAATCCTGGGAGCAGATGCTGCTTTTCAGCTTTTCCAGCAGAAGGCAAGACCCCAAACTGTGAAAGGTGGAGAAAAAGACATGAGATTGGTCAGAGACTTAGAGCTGGGGAGAAACAAGGATGGATTTCTCTAATCCTTCTATGGAAGCATGGGAAGAAACATTCACTCCTTTATCTTTGCATCGTATAAATAATGCCTTTTCAAGGAAGATCTGTTTAGGACAAATCATTTCATGTCCTTGCTATGTTTGTTTCAAAAGCTGGTTGGCCCTTTTGAGCACAGATGTGGGAAGCAGGGCACCAGGTCCAGCCTTTGTCAGGCTGAGCAGAGGACTCGAGTATCCCCGTACATCTCTTTTCCTGTAACACCGGGACAGGAAAAGCAAGAGGGTTTCTGAAATGTGATTTGTGGGGCAAGAAAGTTTTGGGAGTATTTGGTGCCTGTTCTTATTAGTCTGAGGCTGTGAAGTTGCATTTTGGGGGGGTGGGGGGGAGAAATCCTCCTCTGCATAAAAGCAGCTCTTCAGGTCTGGGCACAATGTGAAGTGGCAAGAGAACTGAGGAGACAAGGGCTTTTGGTGACTTAAAAGCAAAAACTGGAACAAAACATGTTTCAGGCACAGTTAAGAGTGGAAGAGGTAAAGATGGATCAGACCAGAAATGATGGAGGATTCCAATTCGTGTCTGTGCAGCCCTGCTGTTGGCTTAAAGCTGGTGGTACTGGTGCCCCTGCTGCTGCTCAGGGGAATGCAGTCCCCAGACTCCCAGAGTGAATTGCTTCATGGGGTGGCAGGGGTATGAAGCATGGGAATGAAGTAAAAATGAGGCTGGTCTGCAAGGGGAAGTGTGACGGCTCCTCTCCAGATGTGACAGACAGGGGCCAGGCACACACCACTGCACTTAACCCCTTTCATTGCCTGGAGCAAGAAGTATTCCTCCTAAATGTGCTGCGTTTCTGGGTTGCTTTGTTTTTTACCCTACCCTATGGATAACACTTTGACCATTTTAAAAGCTGACATACCAATAAAAGACTATTAAATCCTGCCACTTCCTCTGTAGAGCAGGAGTAAGTCAACATAGACATGACTGTGGAGAGGGAAAGAAGGCTCCTAATGTGATGGCTCATTAAGCATTTCACCCTCTATGTGTTTAATATGTATGAGGCTTCTGTCACTGTCCTACTAATGCTCCCTGGGACCACACTGGCAATAGACAAGAGCCTTAAAGTGGAGTGAAATGCATCCATGGCAATGCCACCTGTGTGGGAGGCTTCTCTGTCTCAATGCCAGGAAAAGGGATGGGGAGCATCCCTGGCAGCTCCAAATCCACAGCCAGCAGCATCAGGTTTTCCATCTGGTCCAGGGTGATGCCTTTTCTTGCTGCAGGTGGGTCTGATGCTGTTATCTCCTCCTTTCTGTGCTGATGTTAACTGAAACAGAAGGATGCTTTGGCCAGGAACTGCAGCCTTTCCACATCCAATGTACCAGAAGGGGGGAGAGCCTTGCAAGTCTCTCACCTTATTCCTTAAGGTCACAAAATGATTTTGTCTCATTTGACCCACTCTTGCTCCCACTGTTTAGATAGGCACCTTGCCACACTTGTATGTGGAGCAGATACTTCTTTTCTTGCTGCCAGCATAACACTGTGCAGCTATTTCCTAGGAGCCCTGAAGAAGAGTTAATGCAGGCCAGTAGAGGAGGCAGAGGGACTGCTGCCTAACAAAGATAAATGTAAAATCAATTATGCTCAACTGACCATCCTGCCACAAGAACAAGGATTCTCCCTTGAACTCAGCCTTGCAGATTATCAGCAATAAGCATGAAGTTGCTCCGGGTTGGTAACCCAGCAAAAAGGGTTTTGTGACCCCTATTTCAGGTTGAAAACCCTAGTTTGAGAGATGCTGAGTTATCTGGAAAAGTAACAGCCTGGCTTATAGAGGTGTGAAGTGGACAGCGGAGGTGCAGAGCTGTCTGTAAGCAAGTGTTTGGGGTTTGCTGAGTGATATCCCAAATTCCCTGTTCCTGGGAGGCACTGGGTGGCTGCTGCTCTTCGTGGGGACATGTGGCACTTTGCAGGTCTCAGTTCCCACCATGCTGGAAGCTTTCAGCCCCATCTGCTCCTCCTCTCCCTCTGCCACAAAGTTCTTGGGTCAATTTTCCTGTCTCCTTTTGATTCTTTTTCCATCACATTATCTCCTTGCACTGCCCATACATCTTAAAGGTCACAAAATAAGTACTGTGCCACTGCCTTGTGTATCAAAGCTGCTTTCTGCATTAGCTTTTCATGTGCTTTCGGACCATTAAAACTGTCGTCTTGCTCTTTGCTTCTTGTGATCAAAGCATCGTTCATGCAATAGCCTCATGCAGAATGTGCTTTATCTTTCCCAGCAACTATTGCCTCCTCCTGTGATGCTGCTCTTGGAGGAAGCTTCTTTTTCTCTGTATCCTTTTCTCCTTCTCCCTCCACTCTGGCTCTTCTCATGCTGTGCTCCAATGGACCTGCCAGGGAGGGAAATAGTTAAGGCTTTTTATAAGAGGGAGGGGAAAATGGTAAAATGGACCTGATTTGTTCTGTAATGGGGCTCCTGGAACCACCCTGAGCAGTTACTGTTTGTCAGTAAACCTAGCAAACAGAAAATTGTCTTATAAACTCTTTTTACAGGCTCAAAGGTCTCATAAAAAGGGTTTAGGGCTATTGCAGGAGACAACTTTGTTTAAACAGGGTCATTAGCCCCTTTGTAGGCCTTTTTATAGCGCTTTCTGTCTTGTTTCGTTGCTCTCTTCATTTTGGGGGTTTCTTTCAGCTTATTCAGTATTGAAGTTGTTGTAGTCTCTTGAAAGCCACCTCGAGCAGAGATGGCCTGGGTGGGTAAGCCCAGGATGGAGCTTTCCTGTGCAGTTCCTGGAAAATGGAGTTTTTAAGGAAAATGGGAAGGGAAACTCAGATTCCCAAAGTGATGCATTGGGGCAGGGATGCTTCTCCTCCTTTTTTAGACCATGTTCCTCACAGAAATCCCAAAAGCTTTGTGGAAGGAGGCAACATAGAAGCTGTGGCTGCCCCATCCCTGGCAGTGTTCAAAGCCAGGTTCAACGGGGCTCAGAGCAAGCTGCTCTAGTGGAAGGTGTCCCTGCCCATGACAGGGATCGGAACTGGATGAGTTTCAAGGTCCCTTCCAACACAAACCACTCTGTGATGCTGTGACGTGGTGCTCACATGAGCTTGAACAACCAAAAACCTTCAGAGTTCTCACAAACTCACCCTGTTTCCAATAGGACTCAGTGCTGTGAGGGGCAGAAAGCACTGGGGATTCAGCTCTATGAAAAGTTGGAAGCATACTTAAGTGTATTGCTGGTCTGGAAATGGGGGAATCTCTGCAGAGGGATCCGAAGGAGCTGAAGCAAGGGGGAAGAAAGGACTAAAAGAGGAGTCTGTTGGTAAAGTATTTTCACAGCTGTGTCATTCAGGAGTGGTTCATATAAGTGAAGAATGGCAAACAGAGTGCTCCATATGAAAGGAAGAGGAAAAGCAATCCCGGCAGCGACTGGCCTTTCACAGCCTGCAAAGCTTTAGACAAATTGTGAAGGGAAGAACAATGGGATGAAAACAGGACCGAGTCCAATCCAGGCTTACAAAGGCACATTGAACCTGCTTGTCCTGATACGTTTCGTAGCTGGCAGGAGAACTGGTTTCCTTCACAAAAGAAAAATGCATTTCTTCCTCAGCCAGCTTTTGGTTAGGTCTTGTCGCAGGGGTATTTCAGTGGATGAAGAGAAATGAATCACCTGAACTGAAAGACAATGCTGGGGCTTGAAGGAGTAACTATTAATAGGTGATAAAACACAAACCAGCCTGGAAAGCAGGTTCTTAGCAGTCAGAAGAGAGGCTTTTGCTGGGGCTGAACCTGTTGGCGATCAGTCCAAGTAGGGCTGAGGGGTGCAGTGGTCACAGCAAGGGCTGGAGCAGCAGGACTGGGTGCCCCAGGAGGTCCCTCCACCCCCCAGGTACCATTAGCGTGATGTCAGATGCAAAAGGGACGGCAAGGGAGGAAGAGCAGGATCAAGTGAAGCAAAACTTGCTGTAATTGAACACGTTTTCATGCAAATCAAATCTAAGTGCCCAATTCTTGTTGTGCAAAGCTAAGGCTGTGAACGTGGGCCTTGAGCAACCTGGTCTAGTGGAAGGTGTCCTGCCCATGGAAGGAGTGCTGGAACTGGATGATCTTAAAGTCCTTTCCAATCCAAACCATTCCATGATTCTATGAATGTGGCTGAATTGACCTTGGCGAAAGCCAGGGCTGCTCACTGCAGGTGATGTGTAGCTCTCTTCCAGCCCTGTGTGTACACAGCCATGCGTATTTTCATCTGATTGATGCTTTGCATCAATAAACCTGAGATACTTGCTGGGATGCTGCTGAATTTCTTGTATCACCTGGGAGGCAATGGGATAAATCACTCAACTCTCCCCTGTGCCCTCATTTATTTCAGGGATCTGGATCTATACAGAGAATGCTCCTTGGAAGTTAAAGTGTGCTGAGTGTTTGGTCAGGGAGAGCTGCCTCAGCACCCCTGGGATACAGGGGCTCCTGTAAGAACCATTCTGGTCCAAAGAGCACCACGAAAAGCATCATCTCCTCACCTGCTACTGTGTGATGTGCCCAAGGAAATACCCTTTTCTCTTGCTACTGCTGAAGTTTTATGGCTCATATTGTCTCTAATTATTTCCCTGTGTTTGAAGGAAAGGCCCAAGTCCCACCTGCCCTTCCCTCCAGGATTTTCCTGTGCTCCTGGAAAACGAGGCTGCCAGCAGAGGGCACACAATATATGAATATGTAGATCCTATATAGGTCCTGAGAGTAACTGCCTCCTAACGCTTGCCAGCTCATCCTAAGCTCCTTTTCCAAAAGGAGAAACAGGGAGCAAAGTGATGTGCCCAAGGTCGGAGAGCATTGGGAACAGAATGCATATGCTTCATGGCAAAACTGAGATATTCACTTGTCAAAAGCAGGCTTTGAGTTTGGTTTCATTTCCTTCCTTCAGACTCCATTTTGGCTGTTTGGGGCTGCTTTTTGGCTTTCTCCTTTTGCCTAACTGAAGGGGACCCATCAGGAGATGCGAGATGCTGACTACACACCAGTGAGGACCCATGCTGAGGCATAGAAGTCTACATTTTCAATGGCCAATAGTGATTTTTGTGGTGCTCACCCCAGAACTGTCAGGGTGGAGGGATGGAGGCAGAGGGGACCTTGCTGCAGCCTTCCTCCTCCTGGTTGCATCCCTGTCACTGGGGGCAGGAGTGTGGAGGATCAAACAGGATCTATTGACCTCCTTCATCCTCCGCCAGGATGCGGGGGTCCTTGACCAGGAGCTAGGATGCGGCACTTATCCTGGTACCCAGAATCCTTCTGCAGCTTGGATGCCCTCATGCCCTCTGCTATCACATGCACCAAACAGCTCTGCGCCCTTAGAGGCGAAGGTATCCCTGAACCATATGTGTCTGTCAGCTCTCACCTCCCTTTTAGACAGCTCTGATCAAAAGCAGTTTAGTGCACTTCAACCTTCCCGAATGGAAATTTCCCCCATCTCCTTCCAGCTCCTTAGGGTTTCCAATTGTCAAGCCATCAACTTGCAAATGCTATTTGAAAATGCTCAGCAAGTTGGCATCAGTCAGTCACCAAAGCTTGTTTTCTTGCTCTTCTCTTTAATATTCCCTCCCAGCAAAGCTCTGGAGACGTCATTAGGAGCAGTGAGCTCTTTGGAGCCGGGCTAACAACTGCTGAGTAGGTTGTTTCTGTGCAAATAATTTGCTCCTTGGTTTCTCTCTATGCCATGAGCAAAGAGTGGCAAATCCTGCCTCGGCATCGGCCGCTCCGAGGTGGAAGTGGTGCTGCTCCTTCTGCACTGGTGGTTTCTGAAGAGGGAGCAGCAAATGGATGGACCTGATAGTGACCCCCAAGAAGTCTTTTGCACCATTCTCCAGGCCTGGATATGCCAATTCCATATTATGGAATAACGCTTGTGACTCTACCAAAGCCTCAAAGGTAACCCAAATGAAGCTGTGATGGGTTTGAGCTGTGCTCTCCCCTTCTGTGATCACTATGGGAAGTTGTGTGATGGGAAGTGGCTGTGCTGGGCCACAAATCAGTTGTGTGGCTGCTTTCAGTGCAGTAGTCAGGCCCTGTTACTAACGTCTTTTTGCCTATTTAGCCCCCAGAATTTCTCAGCAGGGTCTAGTTTTCCTTCTTTTCCCACCACAACCCCTCTCCCAGGACCTCTGCACTGTTATAAAGAACTATCCCATCGAATAACTTCAGAAAATAACCCTGAACATTGAACCTCAGCCTTAAAATGAAGGGCTGAAAATGTCCCTGGGAGGTCCTTATGCTTGTCACCTGAAAATAATAATTCTAATTCGTTCTCATGCCTGCCCTTGGGTCCAGCCTAATAAATCCTAACGAACAGTGGCTGATTGAAATCTATCCTTGTGAGTTATTTAAGACAATCAGAGCCCTCCACTCTGAGGGAATAGTTAATGATGTTGGTGGGTCACTGGTGGGGCCCCTTGCAATGGAAGAGGAGGGAGGTTGGAAGAGCAGAGGTCTGATGGTTTCCTAGGGGCCCTGGGGGATGTGAAGCACTGAATCGTAGACCAGTGAGGAAACCTAAATTAATAGGAATGACTCTGCCTGCAAATCTTTAAGGCTTTTGGTGGTTGGTTACCAAGTGATGTGATTCTGCTTAAAATAGCAGTAAGGATGTCGGTTTGAACTCATGTTAGTGGCACAGTTTGAGTGGAGGGAGCCTGGATGGAGCCACGATGGGCCCACTTCTCTCCCCATGCAGACGCAGGCTGGGAGAGAATGAACTGCTGTAAGTTGCATGATGGGAATCAGAGAAGTTATCGATTAAAGTGGGATAAGAGGCAGCTTTATTGTGAATTACCCAGATGGCAGCAAACATTAAAGCAGATCTTTACATGTCTCAGCTGCTTTGCAAAGGATTTTTCCCTCCACCCCTCACAAAAATGCGTTGTGCCTCTTGTCCCATAAATTAAATCTCTTGAATTTCCAGGTTTTCAGCAAAGTGGATTTCCTTTAACAGGAGAGACTTACTGCTAAAAATACCTGCTTTTATTACAGCTGTTTCTCTTTCCCTGCCTCGTTTTAGGGAGGCTGAAACAGCTTCAAGATGACACCATCAGCAGAACAGCGCCCAGAAGTCCTTGGTTGCCCCCCAGGGATAGAGCTGCTTGGAGAGACCCACCTACAGCAAATGCGTCTCAGTCAGCCCACAGGCTGGGATGCATTTAAACACACAAATCAGCCTCTTCCTCTCGGTGCTGTTGGGCATCCAGGCTGGATTACCCAGGAATATGCTTTTTCCTATGCATCCTGATGTCTTTTTAGCTGCTCCCACTGTTCTTTGTCCTGCAGATCTGTTTAACCTATTGTTTCTAGCTTGTTTGCACTCCTGTTTACTTGCCTGCCTCCATAGGTGTATAAATAAGAACACTTTCACATCCAGAGCTAATGAAAGGGCAAAGATGAGCTGGAGTTGGACTTCTAACACTCATTTACCTGCGGTTTGCAGGAGATGTGTGCTCCTGCTAAATTTTTGGTGCAGATTAAGCTGCATGGCCCCCATTTGAGCTAGCCAGAGCCTTGTTTCTATAAGCATACTCTGTCTTTTTAAGCATCATATCCTCTTCTGTGTCTGTTAGCCACATTTGCTGGAGCCCTGTGATACGTGGAAAGCGGGTGATAGAAAACTCCAGTGTGTACATTGCTGTTACAGGGTTGCCCTATAAGTGAGACTCTGGAGCATTTTTCCCCATGCAGGTCTAAATTGCTCAGCAAAGAAGCCTTTTGCATCCTCCTTCCTGCTCAGGATTACCCTAAATAATCCCTGTTTCCTTAGGGAACAGTGAAGCAAAAAGAGGGTTGCACAGATTTCAGCTGGCACCCTCTGTGCTCTTGGGTGCGCGCTTGCTAAACCTGCCGATGCCTTTTCCAGCAGGTCCTCTTTGATGTAGGCAGCACAGGTCCCTGGAAGCAGTGGGGCTGCTCAAATACAGGCTCCACGCACCCCTTTGCCTGCCTGTGTGGGTGGGTTTTGTGTTCCTGCTTATCCAAAGCTTGTTGCTGCGAACGGCTTGTGACACTGATGGAAACGCTGGTTGACAGCAGGCATGGGGAGATCTTTCAGAGCTGGTTTTGTTGTCTGTAGGCTTCTCTGTGACAAAACTGTGCTGTCCCTAAGGCTATAGCAAGTCTGGATTTTTCTCAGGAGCTTCATCCGGGTGTAACTTTAAAGCCCTGGGGTTTGGAGGTGCATTTCCAGCAGGACTGCCAGACATGCCCATCACGTGGGTGTCAGTCAGCTCTGGGGTTTGTGGCAGCAGCATGTTGTGGCCATGTAAGGTTCTCACCCAACCCTGGACCCTTGTTCACTTGTATCCGCCTGGGAAACCCTGGGGTTTGTGAAGCTGAAATAGCTTTGTCTCTGCCATGTGGTTTTGTCCCCCATAGGTGTTGCTTTGGGTCTTGCAAGCCTTGGAGGTGATGTAAAGGGCAAAGGACACCCGCTTATTAAGCACAGTGGAATTCTGCAACCCACTGTGGAGTTGGCCATCCATCCCAGCATACTCCGGCACAGCAGGGGAGGAGAAGGGAAGGTGTTTGAGGCAAGGTTTGCAAAGGGGAATGTGACTGTGCCTGGCCTGAGCCCAGCACGGGCAGCTGTTCCGTGTCTACTGCCTGGGATTAAAATAGCCAACATACTCCTTGTATCCCACTGCTGTCCGGCCTGTGCGTGAGAAGCAGGGTGCTACAGCAGCACCCAGGGGTGCAGCCCCATAGTGGCTTTTCCAGCCCGATGTGCTTGGTGGGGCTGATGATTGTAGGGGCATCTGCAGGGTGCTGCAGTCTAACTGATGGTACAGTGCATGTTATTATAGATATATATATGTTTATATATATATGAAATAATGTATACCTTTCACATGTAGAATAGTACATATATTTTATTTCTACATATATTTCCAACCCAAACTATTTTATGATTCTATGAAACTCTGTTAACACTCCCCTTACATATACATATGTGAAATAATGTATACATTTCATATAAGAGTACATATATTTTATATTTATTTTTATATATTGTATCTATTTTTACATGTTATTTCATATATATATATAAATGTATATATATGTAAGGGGAGTGTTAACAGAGTTTCATAGAGTCATAAAATACTTTGGGTTGGAGGGGACCTTCAAGATCATGTAGTTCCAACCGCCTGCACGCTCAGGGACACCTTTCATTATACCAGGTTGCTCCGAGCCTGTCCTTGAAGAATCCTTGATTCAATCCTTTATCTCACATAGCTACGGTTTTGAAGTTTAGCAAGCTGTCAATCACTTCCATGAGAACAGTTTATATTTGTGCTGTGTTTGGTCCAGCTCTTTCTAAACCAATTCCTTGTTTAGCTGGGTTTGTGTAAAGAGATTTGGATAGACTGAATTTTGGCCTTAGAGCAATAAAATCTTTAAATACTGCCCGAGCTGAAATATTTATTCTTGGCTTTGTTAGCTGTCTGAAGTGATGAAAGGATAGCAGGGGCCTTGGAACTATATGATCTCTAAGGTCCCTTCCGACCCAAACCAGTCTGTGCTTCTTTCAGGCAGCCGCCCCTTACACCTTCTACCATCAGTTGCCCCAGAACAAAGGGAGGAAAAGATATTTGTTGTCATCCTCCCCCCTCAAAGCAATGGGAGATGAAATCCCAGGGCTGTGCAGAGCATCATGTAGGGATTTTGGATATGGGAACCTGGAGCTATGGGTTACAACTACAGGTGTCTGGGCTTTGACTGAAGACCATAAAGCCATGGCTATTGCCTTGCCACGCAGGGTGGCAGGGTGGCAATGCAATAAATCAAGATAAAATCAGCAGGGTGTTAAACAAGCCATGAGTGATTTACAACAAGTTGTGTAAAGAACATTATAGGACTTTGCTGGCACGAGGAAATTACTGCTGGAGAAGGATGCAGCAGTGCTTAGGTTTTGTCTCCTGTTGCGTTTAGAGTGAGCTTTGGGGCATCCCCGCACTGTCCTCCTGCCCTCACTTGTGCATCCCTTGGAGTACTTGCACATGTCCCAGCTGAACGATTTCCTACTGCATAGCCAAACCTCTAAAGCAATGCAATATAGAGCAATATTTTGCCTCTTTGGATACACTCCTTTACCTTGCAGTTGCTGTACAGCTGTTGTCTTTGAGGCTTGGAAGAGAAATGTCAAACAATTTCGCATGTAGAACAGGTATCTGCTTGCTTCCCCTCTATGGACACATAACAGCAGAAGCCTCTGGGTTCCAAATCAAGTTATTTCTCATGCAAAACATCCTCTTAATATATTCAGCCCTTACATATCCTGCATATACCCTCTACCATAATAAACCCTGTAATACGTTCAGCTCTTCAACATCATCATCTTGGATAATTCATTTAAATTATTAGCAAGTACTTGAAAGACTTCTGTCCTGTAAGATTTGGTTCTTAGTGCAACAAAGGTCATTTTGTCCAGTAAATTAACTAATCTGCATTATCAGCAGTTTGCCTCAGTGATTTCAAGTACTCTGCACATCACAAATGCTTTTACCAACAATTTAATCAATATAAACAATAATATTCTATGATAATCAATTGGAATATTTCTACCTCTAAAGGGGCCTGACCTCCAGTGAAGTCCTTCCAGTGAAAAAAGAAATTTCAATTCATTTTAAAATTTGGTTAAATTGTCTTTTATTTTCCTTTAATTTTCTGTTGCCTTCACAGTAGAAGAGGCATCAATTTTGAGCAAGAAATCAGATTTGTGCAGCATTTGTGGGTTTAGGTCTCCACCGAAAGCGTTTCTGATACTGGCAGCAAACTGAAAATTCATTCTTTTTGTCTTGTCTTGCCCATCTAATAAACAAGGGGAAAAGCACCAGGCACCTGTAAAAGTGAAACTCGCATCCTCACTGAATAAGCCTACAGAGTAATCAATGAAATGAAAGGATACGAAACTCCAGCTCCCTGAAAGGGGAAATCACAGCCATGGTGATTTCTTGCTGCAGGCAGCATCATTCAAAGTGCACTCAGGAGATCTGGTTCACCAGAACCTGCCCAGCCCTTAGAGAAGTGTTGGGAAAGTGATGCTCAATGCTGCACAGTGCTTGAGTCAACCTCTGAGCTTTAGAGAGGAACTTATTGCAAACAGAAGTGTGGACCAACACTGATGTCCCAAGGATTTCAAGGGGGCAGCAACCTGCACTTGAGGGTCATCTTGGAGACATACTCCACTCTTCAAGCCCATGAGTGAAAGGGAAGCACCAGTAAGTTATGCAAAGGTCTTAGTATGAAGGCAGGGAAATAGAATATCAAGCCACAAACTGACGTGGTGTCATCATAAAACACATCTTCAACTCTTAGGCTCCTTGATATTGCTTCCATCTCACTAAGCTTGTGTCCACATTGAGGATACGAGGAGGAGATAAGGCACAGGGTGAACGTGGAGACCAAACTTGTCTTTTCCACTCAGAGTGGTCTCTTCCAATAAGTTTGGGAAGCTTTTCCAGGAATGCACTGAATGTTGGTGCCAACCTTGTGGCTCTTCTGCCTTTCTGGGCCTGTTGGCTTAGAACAAGCTTCACGTGGAGATTATTTTTATCAAACATTTATTATGGAAATATTCTGTTTCCAACATGTGCTAAGCCCATAAAACATAAGGAGGCAGATCCGAGCAATGGGTTTGTTTTCCTCAAGGATTCAGAGAATAGTTTGCAGTTATTTTAAACAGGTTTTATATTTAGCAAGTCTAAACATGAGATGAGAAGTGGCAAACGCGACAGCACAAAGACAAGCCACAATGCAGCTTTTGAGCCCGGCCAAAATGTGTGCGTTTGAAATATACTCACTCAATGATGGATTTGGGAATGCTGAAGAGCTGTGAGACTGGAAACGGTGCAAGGTGAGTGAAGGGTTTTGAAGGTGGATAGCTTTGTGCTTCTTAACACAATGACAAAGTAGTCAGGGGATGCTTCCTCCTGAAAAATTGGGTTCTGGAGGATAAAACACGAGTGATAGACTTGATCTCAAAGGCATCACATTGGTTGAGTCATCATCCCAGTTTTCCTTAGCATTTAGGTGGGACTTTAAGCTTTTGTACACCTTGTGTGGACTTCTTGGTGGGTTTCTCCAGGCTTGGCTGTAGAGAACCTCAACACTGCTCCATAACCCATGAAGACCTAAGATGAGAGTTTACAGGGAGGGAATTACTTGCTAAATCACTGAAGGTGAGGAAAGAAAATCCATGTCTGCTGTGACATTGGGACTGCAGGTCCAGAGCTGTTGTAGGGGCTTTGAGATACCAAAACCACATCAGGACAATCTGATGCATTTGCAGGGGCTCCTGTGGGGCTGTGACTGGGATAGCAGGCACTTTGTGAAGTCACCCCTAAATACAGGATCGAGGAGCAGAGAGGGAATATCAGATTAAGGAACAGGATGGGGCAAAGGACTGAGATGGGAGGAAGGAAAAGTGAGAAAAGAAGGACGCAGGAGCAAAACACTGGATATTTTGGTCAGAAAAAGGTGTAGATTCCAAATGGGAATGGAATAGACCCTGGGATCTGCCAGGGGGTAGGAGCAGTTTGGCATTCTGTACTCGGTGGTTGATGAAGGCAATGGCGAGTGCAGCGGCAGAACTATCCCCCGAGTAGGTAAGTGTTTTCTTGTACTGAGGAAATGACAAATTATGGAGGAATTTGAAAGCTGTAAAAATAAATATATAATGTTGGCTGGGGACCTATTTATCTCTATTTTAAAAATGCATTTTAACATCTACGTATTTTAATTAAAAATACATTTGAGCACCAGCACAGCCACGGTGCCAATCTCGTTTTTTTGGCAATTTCTCCTTACCATCTTGAATTATAATAAATTCATTGTTTCTAACATAATTTTCCCCTTCTCCCCTCAATTTATTGTCTGTTTTTCATTTCCCTTCTCTTTTGTTAATCTTTCTAAATAACTTTAAAGTGGTCCTCCATCTATTTAGCTAAATGAGTTCACTCCACAGATACTCATTATTTTGAGGATGATTTATGCAAGCACTATTAGCTAGATTGTTCCTTGTTTGAAGGTTTTTCTGCAATCAGAAAAAAAAACCAGATTTGAGTCAGCTAGAATGAGATCCAGTAAAATAATATTACATAAAGTATTCAGGACCTCTGTCAGACTTTGTCTGTAAGAGGTCAGCTTAATAGGCATAAGAACATAAAGAAACTTTAAACTACATTGCTGACCTGCTGGTCTGGTCTTAGCCTGGGGAACCTGGAGCATCAAACTCCATAAGTCAAATAGGGTTTTTATATTGACTTTTCCTCCCCAGCTGATGCTTGTGATTCTATGGGAAGAGGCTGCACATCACGTACAGGCACAGACGAGGGCATTAAGCTCTGCTACGGTGCTTGATTTACTGTCTGGGTTTCATCTGACACTACGCTACGATGGCACACCCAGCAGTTTATATATGTTGGCAAGGGCTCCTCTTGGAGCCTCGCTAGCAAGCAGGGTGTGAGACATGCAGGGATGCCTCATCCCACTCTCACCGTGCCCATGACCTTGAGGAGCTGGAGTTTAATCCTAGTGGCAGTGGGTCTCCTTCGGGTGGCTCCTGACTCAAAGCATAGCAGCCAGGAGCTGGGCTGGGTGCAGGCAGGGCTGGAGATGCTGCTCAGCCCTTCAGCAGGGTTGCTGGAACGTTTGCAGCCTTTGAGAGGTTATAGGCAAGTTTGGAGGAGGAATATTAAATAGGAGAATATTAAATTGACTGCTTTATGAAAACTACCTGGGACAAGCAGGGATTTCGTGCAGAGAAGCTGTGACTGCCCCGTTCCTGGCAGTGCTCAAGGCCAGGGTGGACAGGGCTTGGAGCAACCTGGCATAGTGGAAGCAGTCCCTGCCCATGGCAGGGGTTGGAACTGGATGAGCCTTAAGGTCCTTTCCCACCCAAGCAGTTCTATGATTTTATAATGTTCTTGTAAAGTCCTTTGTGTGACAGATTGTAAATGCCTGCTACGTGCTAAATAGCATCAAATGGGGAAGATGAGGCAGAAGGGGAATTGAGGTGTCCTCAGTCCACAGGCTGTGATGGTCAGGGCAGATCTGCTTTCTGAGCTGTTGAAATCATTGTGGCTCTGATAACTTTAGGAACCCTGTGAGCTCTCCCTGCTGAGCTCCCACCCCAGCGAGCACTCTCCCACGATGGGAGCCAGACCTCAGTTGCGAGCCCAGGACAGGGATCCCAGCTCTCCTCACCAGGCTGTGCAGTTTTGGGGCAGACGTGCACATCTCCAGCCTGTCCTCTTTGCACGCAGGCTGTAATACCCCCGGGTGCGTGCCAGCGGGGGAGGATTTATTAGGGCCAGCTAAGAGCATTACACATCCCATTATGTCAGCTGTGATTTTGCAAGCCAAGTGCCCATTCAGGGCATGTGTATTCTCGGATTGGTATTGATCTTAAAATTTCTGGTGTTTATTAATGACAGAAGTGCCGTGGCCAGATCCTTCTGACTCGTGTAAATGTGCAGAAGTGATACCTCTATCAGTGCAGTCAGCTGGAGAGAAGTCTGGAGTAAATGGAACTGAATCTGGCCTACTCCTTCCAACGGCTATGTGGGTTAAGCAGGAACTACAGGAGGAAGCAGATGCTTTGGCCAACAGAATGTCTCTTTTCAGTAATGACCAACTTTGTAATTAATCCTGATTGCTGCAAGGAGCCAAAAATCCCCATTGGGGTCAGGACTGGGCCTAATCATAGCATCGTTAAATGGTTTGGGTTGAAAGGGACTGTAAGTTCCCTCCAGTTCCAAGGACCTGGGCAGGGACTCCTTCCACTAGACCAGGTTGCTCTGAGCCCCATCCTTGAACACTGCAGGAGATGGGGCAGCCACAGCTTCCCTGGGTATTCTTTACAAGCCTCCTTCAAAATGCCCTGTTTTACAATGGAAGTCCTTCTCAGCCACCATCATTGCGTGGAGCTTGTTAATAAGGCTTTAAATACTGTCCAGGCAACAGGTTAAGACCGTGGAAATGCCTGGCTTGCCATGTCTCTGCCTACGGGATGGATCTCTGCAGCCACAGCAGCTTTGAGCTTCCACGCAGCCTGTGCGTGGCGAAGGGCAGGAGCCGGAGCTCAGGAGCAGCTGGTTGGGAATGAGCTTTGAAGGTGGATTTGTCAGCCATGGGAGCAGCATCCTGCTCTCCAGACACAGGGCCGGAGGGGAGGCACCGAGGAAAGTTTATTGCCTGGGCAGCTTCTGCCTTAGGGAGAAAGCTTGCTCTGGAGGCTTGGCCTCTCCCAATTCCCGTTTTAGTAAACCTCCCCTTCTCCCTGTAAAGGTCCTATTCCTGAGCAGGATAATTTGAGAGGAAAACCGCTGGAGCAGGGCTCCACCAACTCACTCCAAGTCCTCCCTTCCCACAGGAAGTTACAATTTGCCCTAATTAGCTGGTATAAACGCGTGGAAACTCCAAGCACAATCTCTTCTGTGCACAGTTCAGGTTCTCTTTGCAGCCTGCGTCCTGCTTGTCAGAGGCATTGTTTGTTCAATAATAAAATTGCCACACACTGTTAATCACAACCTGCAAACATCTAATAAAACAACCATTGAAAGTGTGTATGTAAAACCATCTCCTCACTAGCCCCATTAGGCTCGGCTCTTTCTGCTTTGAAAGCTGCATGACCTCTCTTTTCAATCAATTCCCAGTTATTAACCATGAAGAATAGCATTGGGAGCTGCATTTGCAAATTGAATGTGCTGGTATATAATGAACTCACTCTTTCAAACATTCCAGTCGAGGGGAATGTACCTAGCTAACAGTTTTTCATCTCTTCCCCCCCCTCCACCTGCACTACATTCATAAGCTATATATATATATATATAATTCATCGAATTTGAAAGAACTCAGTAAGAATAAAACTTCTTAAGCAGAGTTTTAGGGGATGGTGCCTGTAACGACTTTTCTATTATCTGTTTATTGTGATCCCTCCACGTTTAAGCCCTTGAGAAGATTAGCTACTCAGCTACAAATCACAGCAGCTGAAGAGCCGAGCTTTAGTTATTAAAATGCTCCGACCTCGCACTTGGCTTTATACATTGCTTTATTAAACCCGATGAATTAAGGGCTGGGGTTTTAGGGGGCTGTGGCAGCCTCGCATACCCCCGGTTCCCCTCCGCCGGCTTTGCAAACCCCTTTCCCCAGGGTGGGGGTTCACCTCTTCCCCCGCCTTGGGGGTGGCTCCCCAAGAGGCCCCGAGCGCCCTGCCCTTAGCCACGCATCGCCCTGAACAAAGGCGGAGGAGCGGGGAGACAGCAGCGTGGCCGCGGGTAGGACCGTGCGGGCGGTGCCCCCCCCCCCCCAATCTCCGGTCCCGACCCCCCGGGGCTGCCCCGGCTCCTCCCGGCTGCCCGCCCCCGGCTCTCTCCCAGCCCCCTCCGCCTCTCTCCTCCCCTCTCCTCTCCCTCCTCCCCCGGTAAATCCGAAGTTTCCTGTTCAGCGCGGCTGAAGCTTTGCAAGAGCGGCTGCGGAGCTGCCTGCTCGCTCCTTGGGATTACCGTCGGGAGAGGCTCCGCTCGGCTCGGGAAGGGCCCCCACCACCACCACCACTACCACTACTCCTCCTTCTCCATCCTCCATCCCCGCGGGCGAGCGCCGCACGCCCTCCCCTCGTTGGATTTAGGGGGTGGTGTGCGAGGGGAGGGAGGGAAGGGTGGGGGGAAGATCCGCCGCTTCCCGGCGCCCCGATTGCTGCCTGGTCCCATGTGAACTGGAAAGGCACGGCTATGCTCGTGGGGACACCGCGCTCCGCCAAACTAAGGTAGGACACCCACATCCCCCCCAGTATCCCCATCTCCATCCATTTTCCATACGTACAAAGGAAAAAGCCGGTGGGTGGGGGCACACCGGGGGTTGCAGAAGGGGATCCCGGCTTCCCCGGGGGGCGGGAACGGCCGCGCCCGGGTGAAGGCTCGACTCGCTCCTTCCTTTCCTCGCCCTTCTTTGTTGTGTCTGGAGCGCCGGGGCCAGGTGGGAGCCGCTCCCCGCTCCGGGGTGGGGGGCCCGCCGCCCCTGACCCCCTGCCCTTGCCCCGCAGGTCCCGGCCGCTACCATGACTGATGGCGAGAGCCCGGAGTCGCTGCCGCGCCCGGCCGGCGGCGAGGTGCGGGTGCCCATCACCGTACCGCCGCGCCGCCCCGCCGAGCAGCCGCCGGAGGATGCCGGCTCCGGCGGTTCTCCCGGCCGCGACCCGCCGCCCGACCTGGCCTCCGAGGAGGAGGAGCAGGTGCCTTACCCGGCGCTGGCACCCACCGCCTTCTTCTGCCTCAAGCAAACCACCCGCCCGCGCAGCTGGTGCCTCAGGCTGGTCTGTAATCCATATCCTTTCCCCGAGGGACAACGCACCCCCCCCACGGGGATACCCCTCCCCTGGACCACCCCTTCGCACCCCGTCGGGGTTCTGCGTCCCGGGGGCTCACTGCTCCCTCGGGCACATGGTGATGCCACAAAGCCCGCGGGGCCCCCAGTGCCTCTGTGTTGTCCCGTTCCCCACCTCTGGAAGTGGGATGTGGGGGTCTGCAGGAGTGGGACAGGCAGGGAGCGTGTCCCCGCTGTGCTTATCCTGCTGGCTTCATTTGGGGGACGCACACACTGAGGTCCCCATGCTTGCACCCGCCTCGTCCCACTGTTTGGTGTGGGAGCAAGAGGGATGGGGCGGCAGGAGAAGGTGTTCAGCCTCAGCATCCCGCTGGGGTGTGGGGTGCAGGGTGCTGAGCCACAGCCCTCTAGGACCCACAGAGGGGAGAACCCCTCAACTTCACTTGTCTCCTGGTGGGGTGATGAGGAGCAAAGTTTAAGGACAGCCTCGTGTTTGTTTTAGTCACAGTGGGGAATTTCAGACAGGCGCTGACCCCCACGCTGTTTATATAAGAGAGCTGCTCGGAGCTCCTGTGTGCCTTCTCCTCGCAGAGAAATGGAGTGGGTTGGAGTTGCTTGGGAGAAGGCATATGCCTCAGGTCCCAAAAACTCCCCTTTGCTTTTGTTCTTTTGCAACTTGCAGGCAGGGAAGGGAGAGGACATCAACCCCCTAAATCTCTCCCCCTTCCCTGTGTCCATTACCCAGTTTATTAATGTTAAATAAGGGAGAGCAGTGTGCTTCTCCCCGCTGTGACATCCGGCAAATTGAATTTTACCCGAAATGCTTGTGTGCAAGCAGAGAGTTGTCAGACTGTCTTGATGATCTTCAGAAAGTGAGCTTTTAGCTTTGCTCTGCGCATCGGTTCGGAAGCATTGACATGGTGCGGATAATTCATGCTTTTACCTGTCCCCGATACCTGCCTGCAGTTTGCTGCCTACATCCTGCCACTGCTATTAAAAGCATTATTTATTAATATGGTTATTATTGATCTCCCCTCAGTTAACCAGAGCAACCCCTGTGTGTCTGAGCTCACTGTGCTCCTCAGCAACACCCCCAGGTCGAGTGTTGTCGGGAGGAGGAATTGCACAATCCTCCCCTGAGTGCTTCTTGGGGGTGTTATTAGGAGAAATGATCCAAGGGAAACCCCACAGTATTTAAGGCCTTGGGGCTCCTCTTGTTGGAACTGGGTTTATGTGAGCTATTGACTTGTGCAGAGAGATTTCCGCTTGGCACTGTTGCGAGGGGGGAACCAGGCTCATGCACGCGTGCGGATGAAAAGGAGATGTAAACAAGTAGTTCATCTCCTCAGTGATGCTTTAGTTATGTAAATACTAAATGTAAATGAAGATTCCATAATAAGAAAGTGAAATACCCAGTCCTGGAAGGGCTTGGGGAGGACACTGTTGTGTTGGAGCTGAGAGGGCGTCAGGATGTGTCTCTTCCCCTAAAGCAGGTTATCCTGTTTCAAAACTTTGGGGGCAGGTGAGAGGGAGAAGCTCGTTTGGTGGGATCTCACTCTCCTGCATGTGCCCTGGGTTTGGCATCCCTAAAGCTGATGCAGCTGGAAAGTGAACTGGCAGCAGGAGGAGAATGAAGCACGGAGGCATCGGCGCGGAGCGAGGGAGCTTGCGTGGAAGAGTTCAGGTGTGCTTATGCCGCTGCAGGATGAGGCTCTGCTTTGATTTTGCCTTTCAGCATCACCTCATACTCCACAGGAGAGCGAGTTCCTTTATAAAACTTACCCATATGACATTAACATTAGGTGGAAATTGTGACGGTGGGTTAGCAGTGAAGCCCAAATCTAACATAACTCCGTCAGCCCTGCGTTGTAGTGTTCTTGCTGTCAGCACCAGTATGTTTCGGTTGTAGCAGAACAAAGCTCACGGTGTATCGCAGCAATAGGGACTCCTATTCCCAGCAAAAATAGCTCCTTGTTGGGATTTTTCCCCTCTTCTCCCAGTCGCCAGCAGTGCCACGCATCGCAGGGAGAATAATCCTTTGGTGTTGACTTCTAAGTTTCTTGGTGAGAGCACCCGTGTTGCTGGTGGCTGTGATTTCTGCAGCTGCTTAATGAAGCCGTGCTGAGCAACCTCGGAGGGAGGAGATGCGTGTCTCGCTTAGGAGCGGGTGCTGTGTCTGGGTGGTGGGTGGCTCGAGTTGGGCAGCTCAGGGACAAGCCATTGCCGCGGTGCTGCGGCACTTGGAAAGCAGCTATGTGGGGAGACTCGAGGAGAGGATGGTGTGGTAAGGGCTGAGGTTCCCCGGGTGCCTGTCTCAAGGAATGAGTAACTTGAAAGAGACGATCGCAACACAAAGGTGGTTTCTGGCCAGTCGTGCGGTTTTGGTGACTCTTCGTGCCCCTCCAGAAGCGTAGATCCATAACCCACAATAATGAACTTTGTTTGCATTGAAATCTTCCTCTGTTACAAAAGGAAGGCTGTGTAGTCCCTTAAAACCTGACTCTGAAGAGCTTCCCTGAGCTGCCTGCTCACCTGGGGAGCACTAACCCCTGTGAGAAGCCAGTGCCTTCCTCAGTGGTGCTTTTTCTTGCTGGGAGAGCTGTCCTTAGCTCTCTTTGGGGTTTATTTTAGGGTGAGGGGGGAAAAGATCTCGCTCCGTGCCGCTGATGTCCATGTTCCTCCTCTCCCCATGCTCACCGAGTGTTTTCCAGTGTGGGAGTGCATCTCTGTGCGTCTTCTCTGCAGTGTTTCAGCTCCAAAACTTGCGTGTGTTTCCCCCTGCCACCAGATAGAAAGACTTCACCCCTGCATCCCCAGGCTGCAGACAGAGTTGTCTGTCTGCCCTGCGTGCCTTGGAAATGCAAAGGTGTCCCATACTGCAGGTTCGGTGTCTGGTTCCCATCAGGTTCCTGTCGGTTCTCAAGGCTGATCCCATGGGATGCTCCTGGCAGAGGCAGGGATCTTCATCCCACCGCCGACCATCTACGTCAGCATCCCAAATCCCAAATCGAGTTTTGGGAATGCTGTCGAGTGCGTTTCACGTGGGTTCTCCCGGGCAAATCCTCATCAATCTGGATGATCTGAACCATGAAAACCACCCCGGCCGCTCTGAATAGTTGTTGGTAGCAGAGATAGCCCAGACCTGTGGCCTGGAGCAGGTGGAAATCCTCCACAGCAGGGCCAAAAGCATGGTTTGCCTGTGCAGCTTAAGCAGGGGGAGCTACTGCCAGGCTTAGAAATAGCTAAAAAAAGCCATTGCCTGGTTCTCGGGGGGACAGGTGGGGCCGGGATCAGCTTTCGGAGCCGGGAGCCTGCCCAGCCGGAGGCATGCATCGGAGGGAAAACCGTGGAGAGGGCAGATGTAGTGGATGCACGTTTGGGTTTTTAATAGCTGCGTTTGGGAATGTGAAGAACAACCTGGAAATAATCCTTCCCCCCCCGTTTGCGTGGGTTTAGTATTAATAAACCCAAGAAACTTTGGAATTCTCAAACAACAGAAAGCACAAGATCCGCAAGGAGCTGATTTTCAGGTGTGGGAGCAATAATCAAAGAGCTGTGTCCATTGAGGTTTAATCAAAGGAGCAGGAAGCGTTCAGGCTGAGTCTGATTGCCACGGTTGACTTTTGTTGAGCTGTTTGCTGTGTAGTGTCATTCTGCAGCTTTCTGAAGTGACAGATCCCACACAGGAGTCTCCTTCTGAGCTCCAGGGTTACCTCCAAACCCAACCTCAACCAGAAACCCATTTATAAGTGGGAGTTTAGAGCGAATAATCAGCACAAATACAGCTCTCATGGCACGGGCAGTGGTTAAAATTGAGTTTTCACTGTCAAGTTGTATTGTGTCTTTTAAAAAGCTGTATAATTGGAAGCCAACTTATTTCTTCAGTCCTGGATCTCCTACATGGGTTTATTTATAGAGGTCTGTGGGTGGGACTTTGTGTACTCTGAGCACGTTGGGTGGTAGAGAGCCAGATTTTGGGTTTTGCCATCCTCCGAGGTCTTTTCCTGGCTCTTCCCAAGCGCTGCTGTTAACTGATGGCTCTGCAGAAACACAGAGCTCTGCCTGCATCCAGATGGGTGTTGTCTTTAAGCCAAGGTTGTTAATGTGTTGATCGAGGTGTTGAGTCACCTTTTATCAATCCCTGGGTCTCCCTGTGCCTCGAGGGAGCTCCCGGTCCTTGTTGTTTCATGCCCGTGTAACACAGCGATGGTGGCCATCAGCAGCTCCACCATCCACATGCCTTGAGTCTGTGTCACATCAGTCCGTAGCATTGCCGCAAGGGGTTTTACTGTATGGTGGCTGCAACCTGGGACTGCTTTCCATCACGGCACCGAGCATCAGCTTTGCAGCACGGCCTTTGATAAGGCGCAAGCGACTTTGCTGGTTATTTTGTGATTCAGAAAACCACGTTGTGATTCGTTATAGGGTGAGTTCTCTGTGCCTTAGTCAGAAAAAAAAAACCCTCTGCTGATTTATTTTCTCGAGTGGCTACAGAGCTGGTTGGTGCCAGCTGATTTCTATGGGACTTGGCTCTGTTCTCCTCTTTGGGTAGAGTCTCTGCTTGCATCAAATCTGGGGTTTATTCTTTTAATCATTTTTGTTTTCTCAAGTGCTTCTTGCAGCACTTGCTGTTGCCTTTCTAAGCGCTTCGGGGCAGACCTAACATCCCGAATAACATCCTGTGTTTTATATCCAAGCATTCCTCAGTTTAGGTGTCTATACACTTGGACAGTGAAAAAATGGTGTATCTGCTCTGTGTCTAACGTTCTGATCTTCATTCCTACCCCCTGTTCTTTGTACTGGGCTAGGCTGTTTGCTTGGCAGCCTTATAAATTGTTCTCTGACACGAGGCTTGCAGTTCCCTTCATTCCTTATTGCACGATTGATGTGTTCTGGCTCCCGTGTCTGTGGGAGCATTGCAGTTTGTGAGTTGGGGGGTTTACACTGAGCGTGTGGGGATGTGGGTATAAGTGATGGGGTCTGGACTCCCCATCAGTTTG